TGCACAGAAAGTCTCACTACTGCTGCCTCTGGTGGCCTTGATAATCTTTGAGATATTCATGACCTGCTTGACTTTTGTAAGCATCCCTCACAGAGCGGGAGGACAACATGCAGGAAGAGGATGAGGGCACATAATCCTCACAATAACTCACACTTCTACCACCTGTTCCCAAGGAGCTCACAGGACTTTACAGCCAGCATTTTATTAATCCTCACAATACGTCTGTGGGGGAGACAAGGGACAGGAACTATAACCCCCACTTTATAAAGGAGAAAACTGGGACACGAAGGTAAGTTACTGGCTGATGTATGAATAAAAGCAAGTTGTTTGACCCAACTGCCTAGAACTTTCTGGCAACTTATTTATTTCCAAAATATTCTGGGCCACTTTGTTCTCATGGGCCGTTAGCCCGAACTGTCAAAGGATGCTCTTTCCTTGAGCAGTTCGCTCACTGCTCACACTCACTGCGACTTTCAACAAGCTAACAGTGACAAGATGGACCTCTTGTGAAGGCACAGGGACCTGACTTGACCACACATGTTGTGTTTTATAGCAGATGGTGCAGGGAGCTAAATGGAGCAGATTGCATTGCTCTAGCCCACGTAGTTAAAAATGCTTACTAACAAGAAACTGCTCATTGTGTCGATCTCTTAAGTGTGTGGCTTTATATTTTATTTTCAAGTTTTGGAACCCTATATTTGACCCAACCCTACAGAGAAGTACAAATGAATACTCAGATAAAAACAAGAGAACCCTCAGAAAGTTCCAAGGGAGTATAGTTTGAAAACCACAGTCAAACTACCTTATTAATTTTTGCAGTAAAAAGATAAAAAAATTCAAGCCTTGAGAAAAAGATGTCTGGGAAATGAACACTCATGGAATATGTGGAGTTTAGTTATTTAGGCCTACTTTGGGGGAACTTGCTTCTATGCTTGCAGGCAGGACTATTCCAGTTTTCCCAAGTGTGGGACCAATGCAGTATCGACTGTTCCAGGTAATGCTTTTACACTCATGTTGGGACATAACCTCTTACAAGTTTCCTGTTGCCTCTCCCTCCAACCTTCATGAGGTCTCCACTGTTGTAAGCAATGATAGTCCTGCTGGTGACTGTGGTCGGCCCAAGCGATTCAGACATGGCACATGGGACCTTCTGTCCATTAGAATGTTCTGGTATTCTGATATTCCTGGCCAAAACATCTCACACGTGAGCTGTGCCTCCCTTAAAATGGTCCATTGACTTCTAAATCCTCAAGGCCACAGGAGGGCTGGTTTGAATTTGATCCCACCCCTCCTTGCCACCAAAAGGTTTGGCCCAAGTCAGACAGCTATTCCAAGAGAGCGTGTTCTACTGTCACCACAGGCACTTCAACCACGTCTATGATGTTACTTTACACCCAGTGAAATTCCATCCTGGATGGGGTTGGATGGTGCTACGAGGATGTAACAAGAACAGTAGAGATGAGTGAATATACAAAGGCAGGACCTTTTAACTAAAGCGGCAGAAACAGTGGTTACTTAATATGGTATTGCAAAGGCAAAACTCAAGACAGTGTGAACAGGGACACACACCTCAAGAGAAATGATCCAAACCCATGTCTTCATGTGTGCCGGAACTGTGTTGTCTTCTAATCATTAGTTTGGCCACTTCCGTAAAAGCCAGCAGGAAGACAGTCCCTCTCCTTCGCGGGTCACTGATTTTGTGATATATTTATTTTATGTTTTTTAGAGACAACCTTAAATGTAATTTGTATCTTTTTCTAATAATCCTTTCTATTCAATGCTTGAAGTCTTTAGAATTGATCAGGAGTTGAAGACATTGACAATATTTCCTCAAACAAAAATGTGATTTTTTGGTATCATACAACAGTTCAATTCCTTATATACCATTCTAGGATGGTGATACAAATTTGCTGAGAAAAGTGTGGTAACAACTGTCACTGATAACAACTAGTTTTACTTCAAACACAACAATAGAAAGTGAAGATGTATGAGGTGAATTACATTGAAAGCATCATTGTTAACAACTGCCATTCTCCTTTTCCGGGTTTTGTTAAACTTTAGGGTCCTGTTTATTATACTTGTGTTTCGTTTTTGAAAGCTAACTAAAAAGTTAACTAAAGCTTCAGCACAGCAATGTCAATTTGTTGGCTATGAGAAAAGTGATTTCTAAAGGAGTATTTGAGTTTCACCAGTTATTAGGTGTATCTTCAGGGAATATAGGTATGTGGTTATAGAGAACATCATACTTTCTTTATACTCATGTTCTAGGACATTATGCATTATTATTTTCAATGATGTTCTCAAATCTATGTATAATCTTTTATTAAAATATACTTTAAATGTGATGAAATGATCACGAGTGCTCTCTATTATGCATCTGATGGAAGTGACTGAAATAAGCTAGCCTGAGTGAGTGACACAAGTATCGTAACCAGTTTTATTTTTCTTTACATGTACAACACATAAACATGGCTTATCTTCTGCGTTTCATGATAGAATGTCACCTATATGAGAACTGAATATATTGCACTTAGTCATGTAACATAAATGGGTAACATTCCATCGGATCTAGCAGCAGGTATCCCTTTTACCATTGAGTAATCTTTGGAACATGTTGGACCAGACAGGGGTACGTACACATCTACCACCTCAAGTCAGTGACCACAGTACAATTCAGTGGTAGGTTAATTTGCTCACCCGGGGATGGTTTAGGCCAAGACTTTTGGGGATTGTAAGGTAAAAATGAGTATACAAAACATAAATGAATCCAAATCCAGCGAATTCTTTCGTTCAAGTTGGGATCATAGAATCTGGGATGTAAGACAAATTGTCTAATTTTACAATTTGTTTTTATATGTTTTGTACACGTTCAAAGAAAAGAGAGAAAACACATCAGCTGCCAGTAGATATGTGTAGGTGGCGTGGATGTAGTATTCATTTTACATTTCCCTAACTAGGAGTTTACATTGACTTTGCTTTTCTGTGGTTATTTCTACCTAGCAATTCATCTTAAACAATACATCATTTTAAAGTCTAAAATGCCAATACTTGTGAATACATTTGCTTTTAACATAGTAGAGTGGATATAGGAAGAAGCATCATTACTGTACACTAAGGATTTAGATATTTATTTAGGTAGAAAAATGCTTTGAATATTCTGGGGAATTCTATAAATATTCATTTATAGAAGAATATTTCAGGGAATTTTTTTTCTTTTTTGCATTTTTCAAGGATATACATTCGTACTGATTTTTGCTTCCAAATATATTTAAGGCTGTTTGGTAAAATATATACCACATATGAGGCTCAATTTACAGGGTTTTGTTCTTACAGGGAATTCTTAACTACTCAGGTTAAAAAAGTAAAACTTTGAAGCTAAACATGCTTTAATATCAACTGTGTTCCCAGTGAACCCCATGCTCAGTGGAATGCAGAATATGAGGAAAAGGAAAAGCTGCAGTCTAAAGAATGCCCCAACTGTGCAACTACATCCCTGAATGCTCTTGATAACTTATCAGGCTGCAGAGGAAGCTGGGTACATTTTAAAGTGCAAATCAAGGTGAGAAAACAAAGTGCTACAGGGTAATCAAAAGCTGTTCTGCCTCTAAGTGCATGGTTTTTAAAGCAGCGGGAAGGAAGACCTGGTGTTTGGGTGGAAACATCTGTCTTAAACTGCAGTCCTGCTTTTACCTTGAGTAATAGTGAGAACTCTGAGACTGGGATCAAATGGATAAATATGATAGAGTCTTCCTCTGAAGACACGTCTGAATTGTGACCCAAAGTCATGCTGGAACAATGATCACTGCATCTAAATTTAATTATACACACAAAAAGCCTATTAGAGTCCTTCCTACTTTTTTTCTGGTGCCAATCAGAGTCATTTTCCACAGCTGGAAATAACAATATACGACCTTTTTCTCCCTTCATGTCTAACACAGGCAAGAAATACATTCTTGACTTTAGCAATACTGCATAGGACAAAAGAATTCTGGAAAAATACAACATTTCTTCTTTACCATTTAAGCTGAGATATACTTACCACTCACATTCATATTTCTTAAACTTTTTACAACAGCACAAGTGTCATTTTAAACAAGCAAACTTTTTGTTTTTGTTTTGTTTTTTTTTAAGGATACCCTGCAAAATCAACTAATAGAGCATTTTGAGAATATATATACATATATAAAAAAACACACAGAGCATAAATGGTGCAACTTAAAGAAAAGTTAAAGAAAACGGTGTGTAGTATTTTAAGTTACAAACGAATAAAAAATACGACTATTTCATAGAAGAACAATTTTTTTCTCTTTATACTCCCAGCCTTTTTTAAGGCTTTGATCTCTTTTCATGCATCACATCCTTGGGGGAACATTCAGCTTATTTTTGAATGTGTAGATGCTGTGCTGGATATTTTTAGTGGGTTCAGACATGTAATCCCCTGGGTGTTTGGAGAACCACATGGTAGGGAGTTTGGTGGTTGGAGAGACCACTTATCACCATAAACTGGACGCAAGGAACCTAGTGTTTTCTATCGTGACAAGAGGACTGGGATAGCAGAGATGGGCAGATGGGTCAACTGCACTCAGGGAAAAGCCACTTAAGGTTAAACTGGGGAGACGGGTCTTTCTTTCCTGCCCTTCAAGTTGTAGCACCTTCCGCCTGGGTTGTCTAATGCCTCTAGGGAGTGGCGAGATGCACCCATTTATAGTTATTTGTTATTCTTACCTCTAATTATCACACAATTTATAAAAATATAAATAACAAAATGTCAGCTGGGTTCCATCTCCAGAGGTGTTCTTGAAGTCCTCTGAGAACGAGGAGGAGAAGTTTGTCTCACCAAGCCTATCCCGCAGAGCTGACTGTAAGTCAGGCCATCAATATAAAACAACAACAAAGCCGTTCTCCCGGGCTCAGCCAGCTCTGGGAAGTCCAGAGCGTTCGGTTCAGAGCTGACTGTAAGTCAGGCCATCAATATAAAAAAAACAACAACAAAGCCGTTCTCCCGGGCTCAGCCAGCTCTGGGAAGTCCAGAGCGTTCGGTCTGTCTGGGGTACAGAGAGCACAGAGCGGGCGGGCTCGGGGGAGGGAGTGGGGCGACAGTGACCAGGTAGGCAGCAAACTGCACAAGCATTTGTTAGAAGGAAAGGCAGGCGCGGGCGCGCTCAGAGCCGGGTCTGGGCCTCGGGGATGTAGATCTCGATGCTGTCGGCGCGCTCGGTGGCCGAGCTCTGGCGGAACGAGGCGGCCCTCTTGGCGGCCATGAGGCGTCTCCGGGCTTCTTGCCTTTGTCTGTCGGGCAGGTCGAGAGACTTTTCTCTAGTAATAGGAAATTTTCCTTTGGGGGGCTTCTTTGGTATTGGAGGGGGGACCTTTCGTTCTTCCTGTAAAGCATCACAAGTCAAAGTTGGCGGGTGGTCAGAGCAGAGAAGCAGCAGCGCTGCCCCTAGTGGCGCTGGACGCCGGTGCACGCTTTGTGACTGCGACTGCACTGTGACCTGACTCGTCTACTCAACTTGGCCCTGGCCCTGGACTCCCGTGGTGACAGCTTTGCCTTTTGCATAGTATGTACTTTTTATAAGCTCCCTCAAACTCCTCAAAGGGGACAGAGGAGTTTACGATAGTGTTTATAAATAAAAAAATAAATTCTGCACATTGACATCTCACGTCTCTGAGTTATTTTCACATTGTTGCTGGATTAGCACTACCTTATTCCTATACTTCCCAAAGCCCTATGTCATCTCTGAGCGTTGGCGAACACCTAAAAGCCAAGCTCTTGGGCATCATGAGTAGTCTGGAAGCTGTCACTTGACAGCCTTACTACATGCTGCAGTCTTTCCAGCAGACGCCAGGATCCCAAGTATGCTCACGAAAACCATCTTACATGGACAGGTGTCCCCGGGAATTGGCCAAATTCTCTATTATTGGCCTAAAAACCCATTCACATTAATAGTATATATACAAGAATATCATATATATAATGATTTTTCATTTTCTTGGTTAAAAGGATGCAAGTAATTATTTCTGACCCTTAGCTCATGCTTTCAAATAAGACACACTAAAATACGACCATGCCTTTTTCAGAAAAATATATTTCACAATTCTGCAGCAAGTGCGGATGCAAGTAATTATTTCTGACCCTTAGCTCATGTTTTCAAGTAAGTCACACTAAAATACGACCATGCCTTTTTCAGAAAAATATATTTCACAATTCTGCAGCAAGTGCAATACATAATGCTTGCAACTGTTCCAGTGAAATGTCTGTATCCACAGCTGTTTTGTGTTGTGTTAATGTTGTTTCTATTTAACAAAGCTGGATCTGTCTTCTGATTCTGCTTTCTAATGGAGTTACGATAGGAATTTCTGAATAGCCATTATTTCCTTCTCAGGAAAGGACACACTACAGAAGGAGCCAGAATCACTTTCCTTTTCTATCTATTTAACAAAGCTGGATCTGTCTTCTGATTCTGCTTTCTAATGGAGTTACGATAGGAACTTCTGAGTAGTCATTATTTCCTTCTCAGGAAAGGACACACTACAGAAGGAGCCAGAATCACTTTCCTTTTCTAAGCAGATATCTAGTTGTTGGGGCCAGAAAACACCAAGATCCCACATCTGTGTCTTTCTCCTTTCAGCCTCTCCCCCAAATCCAAAGGGAGCCAGACGTGTTTGGGCACTGGGGGAAAAGGAACAGCTATGTAAGAACAGGGTGGACACCTGTGGCACTGCCCTGATGGCCATAAGAGTGTTTTGATAAGAAGACTGTCTTGGTGTCTGAAATTTTGTTTCCATGGCTTATTTTGCAATGACTTAGGCCAGAACCAATGACTTTCTTTTGACTTGACATGCATCTAAAACAATGGGGTAATTAATTTACCGAAATGTTTAGCTATTTAAAAATGTAATTCCTACATTAAGTACATGACTGTATTTACTTATCTCTTTCCTCTTGGTAGCCTCTGAAATATGGAACTGTAAGAAATATGCATTAACATTTCATGCAAGAGTCCCCCTTTTAAAGGGGCTTAAAAGTCTCCAGGCATGTGCAGTACAAGAGGGTAGACCAGATGGCCTTGCGGAGCTGCAGCACTCAGAGTTTTAAGAAATGTGTTCAGAAGAGACAGGGTCTACTCTTTAGGACTCAGAACCTCAGTTATGTTAAAGAGCGGCTCACTTTTTAAACTGGGGAGTTCTATATCCTCAGCAAGAAACTGTTTTCATTTTGAGCGTCATTCTCTATGTATAGCCTACACAGATGGGCTTATATTAGCTTTCTATTACTGAAGAATGAAAACTAGGAAGGATTATTGCATACATTTGGACTAACTTAAGTTCCATTTTAGTATTTTCACTTGGGATCGTCACTTATTACCTCCGTCACTTCCAAAGCACAGATGACTTGGACTTGCTTATGTCCCATTCATGGCTTGTGTGTACCATATACTTTCCCACGCCCCCTTGCCTGTTGTCTGTGGTAAGGGAGAACTTGTTGGTTGCTGGAGGTGGCATCTGTGGTGTCTAGCCTAGAACTACACTAGCTAGCCAATGGCATCTTTTGGGGAGAAGTAGATAATAATGATGACCTGCACTGTTTTTCATCCTAATCATTCAGACATATAGCCTCAGCTTTGCATTAAATACCACCGCCCAAAAGTATGATGGATTAATTTCTCTATCATTTTATTTTAATTGATAAGGTCTGTCTAGAAGAATTAGATTATGATTACTCAAAACTTCTCTAAAATGTGTAAGAAAATCAATGTATTTATTGCCAACTCAGACCTATTTACTAGCTCTATTGAAGATGATATCATCATGGAAGAAGTGAAATCCCAGGATTCACATTTAATGGACATTGTTAGCCTATTTTAAAGACTGAGATTGATTGATCTATAGGAAGATTACATCATCAAACTGTTCAATAAGGTAAAAATGTTGCCCCTAGACATACAACTAGAAGGCATATTTGAAAAGGCGACAGTCATTATAACCAGACCTAAAACTACCTCTGGGGGAGATCATTTTAATAGTCCAAAGGTTTGGTGAAAATTCAGAGGCTAGATCCCTATAGGAAACGAGACTATAGATGTACGTGTGATTTTGGCTTGTGTCCCTCTGAACTGTCTATATGCAAGAGATATAGGAAGAAAGATACCGTTGCTTACTATACATGCCCAAGACTTCAATTCCACCCCAGTTTGTGCACATGTGTGAATTTGAAAATTTGACACTGTGTTGCTAACTGAAGACTGGGAAACCCATTATCATGTAGCATTTCGAGACCATTTCTGCCATTGGATTAGATGCTGGGAAGCCAATGGATAGCAGTTTGCAGGGAAGTTGCTCTGTATGGGCATACTCACCTTTCTTTCTGGTGACTCTATTATCTTCCAGTCATTGAGCTTCAGCTGGTGCAGCTCATCAAACTTCATGCTGACGTCCTCGATGGAAAGCTGCAGCATGTCCCAGTACCCAGCTAGGTCCTGGGACGTTGGTCTCGGCATGGCGCTGGGGTCCTGTGAATACATGCAGGGAATTTAGAGCCATGAGAGTCTCCAGCTGGCAGAAGGCTGAGGGAGGCTGCTTTTCCCATGTGTGCGTTTCAAGAAACTGAATTAGGGAGAAGCCCGGCCAATTCAAACACTGACACAAATATTTGGGAAGGCTCACGGTGATTCAGTAATAGTTTACTTTAGCACAAGTATTTGATGACGGTTTAAAAATATGTAGTACATCAGTTCATGGTTCCATTTTGAAAATTCTGGGAACGGTGGCAAATATGAAAGTTTTTAAACGCTTGCCAGTTCATAAAAGCAAGAGAGCCATGTGTTTGGGGTCACCTGTGGATTATTCAGAAGGGATAGGGGCTACCTGGGTCTGCCATGTACTGGCGGTGGCGTAGTGGTGAGGGGATGGGCTTGGCAACAGTTCTATCTCTGATGGATCTTAGGTCTAATTCTGAAGGCCATGGATGCCTTACAAATGTAATGTATATTTAGCTTACTCCTATGTAGAGAGAGGACAGGTGAGTAAATCTCCTGAAGGAACAGAACCACTGACAGGTTCCCACACTCAGAAGGTCCAGGTGATGCCACCCAGCCACAGACTGGCAGCCCATGGGCCTAATGTGGCCCACAGACGTATTTTGTTTCTGTGAACAGTGCCTGGTATACCAGGGTACTTCAAAAAGCTTGTGGAAAAACAGAATTAAAAGATAATATGAATCTTTCTGTGAACTTTTCGAAGACCACTTGTATATAGTTTCCACTCATTGCCTACAATTAAAATTGAATGACTCTTCCGTGTGTGGCTCCCTTGATTCGCTGGAGGGCTATCCCAAATTGGTAGCCTTAAACAATCAGAGAAATTTCTGGTAAGTAAACATTGATCTGAATTTGCTTAAAATGTGCACTTTGCAGCTTACTCATCAGTAGTTCACATTAAGCATAACATGAACTTTTATTTGCTTTGGTTTAAAATCCCTTTAACCTGTTTTGACATCCATTTCAGAATGATTCCTTTTTGGTCCCCATCCCATTCTCTCCTACACAACCTGATGGCACTGCGGCGGTGGTCAGAGGGTTTGTGTGTGACAGCCTGCGCTTCCCCACCGCAGGAGGACTGGCGCTCAGAGCAGGCTTACGCTCCGTGAGCCACAGGAGGGCACTCGCGGGCTGTCCAAATGCCAGCAGGAGCGGTGCCCGGGTATCGCGGGATGGGTTCCTTTAAGGAGCCCCTGGGGAGGTCGCACTCATTTGCGTTGATCCTGAATTCAACCTCAACTTGTGAAGAAAACCCAAACATCTTGCAGGCAGGGCCACATTCTGCACTGAAGTCGGAACAAGACGCCTGCTGAGCTGCACCTGCCACGGGAGGGCTAGGCTGGGTGTGGGGGCTTTCTCACCCCCAAGGAGGCATCATTATAGATGCCATTGAGTTACTAAAGGAGGGTCTGCATGTCTTTCTTCTGGAAGACTTTACAGATACGAGGAACTTGCTCTCTTTTCATCGGTTTAGACAGGATGGTGTCTGAAGCTGTGGGAAGAAAGCCAAATGGCTTCTCCTCCCACGCTTCAAAGAGAAAACCTAAAGGAGCGTGCTTGGTGGTGTTGCTGAGGCTCCCATGACTCGAGAGTAGATGCTTGTCTTCACCTGTCACTCCACCAGTCTGACAAAACAACTGTCCTTTGGGCTTGTCTCAGATGACAGGCCATGGCTGCATTGCTATAACTTGGCATAGTAAGGATTTGGTTTTATGTCTTCTGTTGTTTTTTTCTGGGCAGGGGGGTGAGGATGGTGATTGCATTTGTACCCACTGGAAATTCAGATAACCTGATATGTTTATAATTTTTTTTTTAATGTCGATGGTGTGCCATGCCATTCCCTCTCCCCCAGCTAAGTAATGCGGGGCCACATATCCTTGTTAAATCACAGTCACTTAAAATTTATATGGCTCCCTGGCCCTGACATCTAGAGTCCATTTGATGAGAACTTCATTGCCCATGTTCTGGTGTGCAGCATTTCTCTGCATGTCAGTGGTGTGCTTGGACATGCACACCTCCGTGGACCTTGTTAAACTGCTGAGTCAGACTCTACAGGTCTGAATGAGATTCTGCATTTTTAACAAGCTTTCTGGGGACGCCACACTGCTGGTCCCACAGCACAGGAATCAAGCTATAAGTTTCTGGGGAGATTATTTTTTATGCTAGTTACATAATGAGTCACCTATACATCTCACCTTGAAGAATGACTACACTACAGAATGTGTAGTCTGTCCTAAATATCTGGGTGGGGTCCTGACATTTCCTAGGGTCATTTCCTTGACTTAAAGCTTACTTACCTCCCTAAAACTTCCAGCAACTGGCGATGCTACTTTACACCATGGACAACCTTGCTTTAGTGAGCAAAGAATCTGCATACATTTTCAGCATTTCTCTCCTGCCAGGCCTGTTGCAGACATACTCCCCTCCTCATGCCAGTCTTCCCCAACAAATGTTTCAGAGCTTTTTTGTACTAATACTGAGTAGAACCCAAAAGAAAAGGAAGTAGCCAAGCCAGATATTTCAAAACTCAAAAGGGATCAAAGATATTAGAATGAATTATTTTAAGTCTAATATTAGACGCTTCTGGCAGAGAGAAAATGAACATTTTATAGGTGTGAGTACGTTCCTTTGACTATATGCAGGATGCTTTAGGTTGAGGTTGTTAAATCTTCCTCTGTTTCCCTTTTTAAATGTTGATTATAACTGTCAAAGGCGACATGTTGGTAACTTTTAACATTTTATGATGAATTTTAATGGAGTTAATTGTAAATTATTAGAGAAAACAAATTTTTTAGTGATCCTAATTACAAGACATGCATTGCCAGCTCTGATGTACTTGTGCTTCCTTTGACACAAGAACATCCTGTATATTCACATGTCCTTGCAAATGAGAGACCAAACAAAGCATAATCAAAACACCTGGCACCACTGTTACAGAGGCCTAGCAGAGACCCATGTGCATTTTACTGAAAATGTTTGCTCTGAAAGAAATCAAGTATGGATTGTAAAACAGCCTGTAAAGTGAATACTATTTAGCTACTTCTTATAAAATAAAGTGAATGCTTTCTTTAGTCAGATAAGAAAAAATATATATATGTATGAGGGCCTTCAAAAAGTTCCTGAAAAGATTTGTATTATTTTTTAATTCTATTTTTCCACAATCTTTTTGAAGTACTCTTGTATGCACATGTACCTGTGTGTAGGTAAGTATATCATATATACAAACATATATTAATATGTGTATATAAAAATATATGCATATATAAGTACATGTTAATATCTATATGAGGGTACTTCAAAAAAGTCCACAGAAAAATAAAATGAAAAGATATTATGAGTTTTTCCATGAACTTTCTGAAGCCTCCTTGAATATATATGGTTTTTCTTTCCCTTTGATTGTCAGGAAGAACTAAGCTTAATACCAACTGTATTAAGTGATCAAGTTCATAATGTATTTGTTTCGCTCCTGACTATAAAATTTAAAGGCTCAATTATTTCTAAAATTTCTTCTTAAATCTTTTTAAATGTACTTGTTTGTATGTTTTTATTCCCAGCTACCTCAGATCATTTTCTTTGTCACTTAGCCATAACAGCAATTTACTTTTCATCTCCTCTTCTTAGATTCTCCGGTAGAAAATTGAGCTGCAAAGGTACGATCTCATACCATGCTGCTGGAAATTCCAGTCTTCCTGCCCACTCCCTGCTCCCTGCTCCTCCAACCTGTCCCCTCTTGCAGCCTCAGCCTTGGTCGCTCCTTTAAACTAGGGCCCTGTAAAGTGTCCATCCCCAGAGCTGGGAAGTAGGTCCTATTTGTAGATTTATTCAGCATTAGGGAGAATGTATAAGATGGACACTCATCAGCTTGGTTGTAAGGAATCGAGGTTACTTGAGGACTCACTTACCATATTTTGTTGGCAAAGCCAATAAAATTGCTGGAATTTCTGAGACATGAGAAGCTGGGCACTCCCAACAGCACTCCTGATTTTACCGAGAACTGTTAAAAAAAAAAAAAAGTTCAAAACCAGGTCAACTAAAGAACAAGAGCAAAAGCATTACACAGAGGGAGTAAACCACAGGGGCACAGCCACTATCCCTTTTACTGAAGATTAGAACTTTGAATTGATTGTGGGGAACATGTCTGCTGTCTGAATTTTTCTTCCATCTTCTCCATTCCCGATTCATGAAGGGAATTCAAAGATGAACAAATGCCAACTATAAGGATATTATTCATGGGTCAGTACCACAGAAAGTGGCCTGTACTGCAGGGAGTTTTCCTTATTTTGGGCTTCAAGATTATTTTAGCTTTGATGTTCAGATGAGCTGGAAGATAGGGAAGCATGTGTGAATAAAAAGATCCTAACCACCTCCTCTTTTTAATGAACTCCTTCATGTGTTAGTGAACATTCTTAAGATGCCAATTCCTTAATTTTTAGAAAAACATTGATATCTGTTACCTCATTGGATTCAATTTAATAATGTTTAGTGGCAACTGTCGCATGGCAGCACTAAGAGATTTATATATGAAGAAGCTTTGTAGAAAGAGGTCACACAGGAGGATCATGACGACTCAGAAGACACTGCTTCTCCTCTCAGAGTTAGCCGAAGGGTCACGAGTTCCCGCAACATGCTCACACCAATTAGACTCGCCAATCAATTTATCCAGCATATTCATAATGTGGTGTTACACTTTTGAACATGCTGTGAGTAAGCATGCCACGGGTTTAATGAGGCATGAAGAGTCACTTTAATCTACAATTGATTCCTATCTTGTATAATTTTATTTGGCTAACCAATAGTATTTTTTTTTCAGAAGTAAACAATGAAGTTTTATTAATGGAATGGATTTAATAAAGAAAGATAGGTGTGATCACTTCTGGATTTAGTCTTTGGTAAAAGACTTTACTGAAGAAATGCAAGGGGCAAAAACCCATGCTTCCTATCTCCATGCTCCTCCAAACCTTCTCATTTTCTCCTTTTCTTCTCTCATGCCCAATCCTTAGTCTGCTGTAAGCACAGTCACTATCTTGGCAATGAGGGCTTTGGGAGATCCCATCTCACACGATCCTCAAAGCCACTCAGGAATCCATTGGAACCCATTTCTTACCACTCTGCCATGGGCCCATTTATACTGCTAAGTTTTATTTGCCTAAGCAACAGTTCAAAAGTTATTCTTCGGAGTTTGTACAGCATAGGTATCTGGCTTTTCTGTTACTGGGTCACCATTTGGGTGGGGGTGTTGCCCATGTGGTGGGGTATAGCTGATCTAGATATCTTATGCCTTAGTTTATCCCAGGGTCTCAACCTAGTTGCCTTTCAGCTTGGGGACTCTGAGGATAGGGCCATCCTTCCTGGAGCTTGCTCATGGAGCATCATCTACCTACTACAGGCAGGAGTGGATTACTCCATCTGCTCAATTTCATCATCTTTTTTTGGTTGTACTTTAGATTCGTTGCAGTGCACAGAAACTAATCAATCACAAATACTCTAGAACTCAAAATGTTGCTAGTTTACTAGTTCAGTCTGTTCTCCCAGGCTTTCACCAGAAGAGAGCCATAGCAAGGTTATAGGAGGGTACATCAAAATGTTCATGGAAACATATTTGCCAAAGTCCAGTGGAAAATGGTTAAGAAAAGGCGGGACATTTAGTCTGGAGATTTGTCCCTCCTGAAAGCAGAGGCGAGCGATCCATCACCACTTACATCTGAAGATTTACGCATTTCAAGATGGAAAAATTATGCACTTGAAGTTTTATCTAGAGAAGTGTAGATGATTAGAGCTCAGGAGACTTTAATGATCTGTCTGTCGGTCTCTGGGGGACCTTGGTACCAGGCAGATTCTGACTCAGGAGTCAGGGTGGGGTCTGACTGATGTTCCTCACAAGTGCCCATGCTGGTCTAGTGCACACCTGGTGAGCAAAGCCTGAAGATCATTCCCAGAGGCGGAAACTGAGCTCCAGAGAGGTGAACTCAACATGTACTAGAAACTGGCAACAAAGATTCTCATATCCTGATTGGCCAACCTATGGCTGCTGCTGTATTCCTTCTGCTTTGCTTGACTTTAGGGGAAAAAAAAATCACAGACAGTGGTTAGAAAGGGCTTTAATATCCATATAATAAAATGGATTGAGGCTATTGAAAATGATGTTCCAGAAGCAACCTGTTGATTTGAAAGGGTGTTTAAGACATGTTGTGATGTAAAAGAAGTCATCTGTGAAAGTCTCTACTGTATATGACTCATTTCTTAAAAGATGAGGGTCTAGGATCGGCCCTGTGGCTCACTCGGGAGAGCGCGGCACTGGTAGTGCTGAGGCCGCAGGTTCAGATCCTATATAGGGATGGCCGGTGCGCTGGCTGGCTGAGCGCGGTGCGGACGACACTGTGCCAAAGGTTGTGATCCCCTTACTGGTCAGGGGGAAAAAAAAAAGGGTCTAGCATTATACATAACATGTTCTTAAAAGTGATTTTCTTCTGGGGAGGATAATAAAAACTTCTCCCTTATTCATCTGTATTTTCTTATTTTTATGTAATAACCTAGATTATTGTGCTCCAAAGTTTTATTATGAAAAATTTCACACATAAACAAAAAAACTTGAAAGAAAAGTGTAACAAACACCTCATCACTTAGGATCTGCAACCAGCGCTTTGCCATGTGCATGCATTTTTTTTTTCCTGAAGCTTTTGAAAGTAGGCTGTAGCTAGCACTTCACCTGAGTTCACCCTGTTTAACTACAATTTCGTTATCATTCCTAAGAAGTTAACAGTAATTCCCTGATATCATCTAATTCTAGATTGCTTTTAGGATATTAAAAAGAGTAAAACACCATAACTTTTAATAAAAGTGAATAAATTGGATTACACTTTGGCATCCTTTCAGTCTTAAAATGAAGAAATAGAATGGTAGGTTATTACACATCTTGATACCTGGGCCCTTGTGCCTTTTACAAATCCATTTTAAGAGGTGCTTGTTTCTCCCCCTATACCCGCTACCATCCCGCCACCCTCTTAGATCTGATTTGCCAGCCAGACTGGGAATGGGGAGCGAGAGAGAGGTAGGAGGGAGTGAAAGCTGTCGGGATCAAAGTGGAGTCACTTGTGTTAACAGTGCCCCCCCCCCCCAGTAGAGCTGGGGAAGCCCTGATACCAAAATCTATCACGAAGGACTCCGCAAAGCCACAACCTTGCACAAAGGCCATCGCAATCTTGCACAAAAAGATACTTGTGCAAAGACGTCTGCCCAGTGACTGTCCAACTCAGCTTGGTGTCATCCTTGTTGTTAATCCTTGTAGCCAAGGATAATTATCCCCAAACAACTCCGTGATCATCCATCACTTTTCCTTCAAAAACCCTTTGTCTCCCTTTACCTCCCTGAACACTCACATGGCTTACTACGGCACACGTATTCCCATTGCAGTGTTACGTTACCAAGTAAACTCATTTTTGTTTTAGAGAGCCTTTCTGTTATTTAGGTTAATGAGGGCTAGGACGTGGGGAGAAAACAGGAAGCCACTGAAGACGGTGTGGGATGGGGTGATGAGGGCTCTGTCTTTAAGAGTGTGGGAAGGAGGGGACAGGGCAGTCAGGGTCCAGGACGGCAGCAGGTGGCAGGGCAGGTGGCAGGGCGCTGTGTGCAGTATCTGACAAGGCAGGGAGTGGAGGCACCTTCTCCTCTGCTGACATGTTCACGTCCTCAACTGTCCACGTTCCCCAGCCCACAATCCCCGGTCTCACTGATGCCAAGGGGAGGCGTCACCTCTGCTTTTGGAATATTAAATTTCTATTTTGTATTCTATAACCTGCATAATTGATGAAAATATTTAAAGGAACTTGTTTTAATCAAGTTGTCACTGTAGGAATATATAGAAGCGACTAATAAAGGCACTTGTTTTACTGGCTCTATGCTTCCTTTTAAATTGTTATTAAAAAGTCAGTTTTATAAAATTTGAAGTTTTAATCCTTAATTTTCACATTCCTCTTAAAATGGGAGTCAGCTAAAGTATTAACACAAAGTACTTCAGTTTATACTCTTTAGCACAACATGAAGAGATGGGTGATATCTTGATATTGGTTTAATGTAGTGGAGAGTTTTTATAAAGGGTATAAATTGAATATAGCTAGGAAAAGGTAATGAATGTCAGAATGCAGCTAAGGACATGACTGCTAATGGCAGGAGCATTTTGCTGTTCAATGAATGGGAATGATCCTATCTGATACCTATAATGTAAATAGCTTCTTATAATTGGAAAGAATTTGAAGTGAAAATTCAATTTATTCTTTTTCACTATCCTTCCCTACTTTTGTCACAGTTTAGACACTTTTTTCTCTCAAGAGCTGCAGATAAGGACTAATGCTCATCAGAATGCAAATTTACAAAGGACCTGATATAACCCTTGCCTTTGATGTACAAAGAAATTTGATTAGCTTACTTGGCTCTTTTAATTTATTTTTCACACGTCTTCTATAATTTCCAATTCTATCTAAATTTGCTATGAAGAACCAGAACAACGTTTGCACTATTCTTTTGTTCCAAGATTTAAAGTGGATTTTTGTAAAACCTGCAGAGAGTTTGAAATGATCATTGGAATATTTAAAACCTCTAATCTCTTGGGGTTACTTTGTGACTAATTTTGTAGCACTGGTGTGGGTCAGCCACTGCTTCCAGAGATCTCCTTTCA